GTCCACAATTCAAAGCATTCCCCAATTGACTCAGCAGCCTGCATATTTTGCAATTGTTGCAAAGAAATGGCTTTGACTGGTGTCTCTTCTCCACAGAGCAAAACTGGTTGATCATGCCACAAGAACTCCATAGTCATTTTACTGTAATCATGCGTGATCTTTCCCAGCGATCTCAGCCATTGCACTCCCAAAACGATATCGTGGCCGTGAACGGCCAAGACGAATAAATCCACCGTGAACATGTGGTTTTGGACCCTCATTGAAACTTGGTTACAACGTGATCGGCATATTAGGGAATCACCATTCCCTACGTAAACCCTGAAAGGATCTATGTCTGTGAGCGCCAACCGTAGTTTCTCGGCAGTCTTTGGATGCACGAAGTTGTGCGTACTACCTCCGTCCACCAATACATCTACGTCTTGCCCTTCAATCACACCCTTAAGCCTGATCGACCTAGGAGTCGTTGTTCCCGCGAGGCTTTGTAATACTGAGACGTCCCCTTCAATCACCGCCTCTGCTTCCACACTCAATCCCTCGTCGTCCGCCTCTCCTTCGCTGGTTACCAACAACAAATATCGCCCGTTACAGCAATGACCTCGGGACCACTTTTCAGGGCAAAAATAGCATTCTCCTTTAGCGTCCTTCTCAGATTTTTCCGCCGGAGATATTCTTCGTATGGGTCTTGCCGGGATTCCTTTAGGAGTAGCCAACAGTGGAGTTTTAGTGGGAGGCACATATGGTGTTATAGCCGCCGTCTGGGCTGAAGGATTAGCAGTGTTGGGTCGATGGCCTTGAGGAGCCCAATTTCTTCTAATGGGGGTCTGTAGTTCGTCGTACTTAGCGGATGTTTCTCGGGCCAGTGCAAATGCCCCATTCAGCGTCGTGGGCCTGTTGACCCGTAATTCCCTGCGGATCGGATCTTTTAACCCCGATATAAAAACCGAAATTAACGTATCTTCACTCACCCCTTCCACCTTATTCATCAGCCGCTCAAATTCAGTTTGGTATGCCATCACTGTGGTGGTTTGTTGCAACTTTGATAACAATCCGAAATAATCCTCATACATCTCGGGGTCGAATCTGAATTTAAATTGCTCTTCGAAGTCAGCCCAAGTGTTGATCAGATTATTCCTCTTCATTCTTCGAAACCACTCCACCGCCGCGCCGTCTAACATCAACCCGGTCACCTTCAACCTCTTTTCATCCGGGATTGAATTGAATTCAAAGAATTCCTTTGCCTTGAACAACCAGGTGTGCGGATCCGTCCCATCCGTCACGGGAGGGTCCATCTTGAATCGGTGAAACCTGGAGGAACCTTCATCTTCACTGTTGCGGACTACCTTGTCGTGCCGAACATGAGACGCCTCTCCCTGATTGCTCTCCACCTTCTCGATCCGGGTGTTCAGCGAGTCGATCTTCTTGTGGACCGAGACAATCTCCTGGTGTATGGCTCCCTTTTGCACTTCTGAAAATTCCCAGAACATCTCTGAAAGTTTCTTTTCCATGGCTGCCGCAAGAGCCGCCGTGGAATTGGGATCAGGTGGTGTTGCCGCCATTCTCTCAACAAGAGCACCAAAATGTTAAGATATGACTTAACGGGTATCGCTTCGAGCCGATACACACTCCAGCAATGATATTAAAGTAGATAATTTGCCAACAGGAAAGCTGGTTGACGCAGCCTTTGTGCAAGATTGGAAGGGAGTTCTGTTTGGGTTTTAATTCTCTACCATTTATGAAGGAAAAAACATATATAAATAGGCAGCAGAAAGGGTATTGCTCACGCAGGAGCTGCTGCTAACATCCATATTCCCCACTAAGCTAGAAAAAAGGAAAC